CTCGGATCCAGATAAGGATTTCAGAATATTTCCAAGATTAGCCTCTCCCAATGTACTCCTTTCGTTTAAAATTAGAATTTTAGGATATACATAATGGAGCAGCCTCGAAATAAAAAATTTCGAGGCTTAAAAAATTTTCGAACTTAAGAATCTAAATTTAGGCGGTTTTGTAAATTACTGATAAATAATTTCAAAAAAGATCACAAATCAATTTATAATTTAATTTTCAAGAGATCATATTTCTGCTTATAATTTGAGTTTAAATTTTCAATTAAATGAAAACATAATGGCAATGCGTTTAATACTTCCCTTAGATATTGCTTATGCAACAATTTATCTTTTATGCAATGCACTTATAATTCTACTCCGATTTTATAAAGATGATGTATCCTTGGCAACTTATGTATTTTATTATTCTGCAATAAATACGGTAATAATAAAATTATTAAATCGTCTGGGACCAGTTAAATAACTATTAAAGCTTTAATCAACTGCGTGATATTGGGAAATTTTGATAAAACTGATAAATTTAGATTAAATCTGATACTATTTTTAAAATTACGGAAGTAACAATTTTATTTTAGCTATGAGCTTTGAACCTTTGGTTTTAGACTATAGTAAGAGCGAGGTAAAAGTTTAATCCCAGACTCCTGGCAGTTATTGCCAGGCGCTTTCGCTCTCCGAGTTCGGGTCCTCTACAAACTTAGCTACCAGGACGCTGCTTTGACCTTCTTTTTTAATTAGATCTTTTAATAACCCCCGCCTAATGAACGTTTTAAATGCTATCCAGCTGGATCTTTCTCTTCCTTACACTATGGACGATTTTTTACCCCAAGCTTTATGGGTCGATTAAGTGTTAAAGAATACATGTTTTCGGGTCTATCAGGGTTGACTGGATATTAAGAATAACGATGTATATGATTTTAGAATTTACATATTCGAGTACACATTTAGATTTAAATTAAAGTTTCTAGGCATTTTTATAATTATAGATTTTCTTTTGATAAAAAATATGCCTAAATTTTCAGTTACAATTTCTATACACTGCTGGATATTTGATTGTCTGCATACGCTTTATTAAATTTATTATTAAAACACAAAGTAGAACTTTAGAGTTAGCAAAAAAGGAACCTGTCGATCATGCTAAGATTTATTTTAGAGAATTAGAGAAGCAATGGGATGGTTAACAATGATTATTTTGAAAAATTTTCGGTTATCCTTGTGTAAAATTTTATAAAAATTTTTGGCAAGAAATATCAAAATTTTCGGTTTTGACAATAATTTTATTTTTTCAAAATATTAGAACTGCCTAAGTTATTGCTGAATTAGTGATTTCCTTACCAATTAAACTTGCCTATAAATTATGAATTAGGCATAAAATCTGACCTAGGAATAGCTTATGTTGAAAAATTAAATAGCATAAATGCTCTAATTAAACCATAGACAGTCCAGTTTTTAATTAGCGCATTTAGGTAACATTATATGTATATACAAATTATTTACTGATTTCTCTCTTTTATGAATTAAGGTTTTCGGTTCGGATATCCGAAGATTTTAAATCATCATTACTAACAAAAAAAGCATATTTTCTTGACATAAGACAGGAAATTTTTTTTCTAAGTTCTAAAAAGCTGTTAATTAGAGTAAAATAATTAAATAATTAATAATTTAATTGTGGAAAAATATTTTTAGTTTTCATGACAAACAAAAATGAAAAATTAATTTATTTTTTGTCTAATCATTATATTGCACTCCAATGTCGTTTATTCTCTTCTACAAGTGGGTCTCTTCTTAAGAATCCCTCTCTCTTACTCATCCCCAGGTTTCTCATTCAGATCAAAAGGATAAAATTTATCATCTAAATTTATTTTATTTTCGGTCATTTTATTTGGATTTTTCGCCACAATTTGATTTTGTTTATCCGACTGAGTTCCTAATTCGCCTTCATTCTCCTCTTGGTGAAAAAGATTTTCGTCTTCAGTCTGAAAGATTTCTTCACAAACAACTGGCAATTTGCCTTTATTTCCATAATCGTTGTCCGTTGAATTAACAAATGAAGTTCCTTCATCAATACCAGATTGGATGTTTTTCAAGTTTAAACTCTTATTTTTCAGAATTTCTTTTTCATTTTTCTTTCTTTGCCGGTATTTTCTCATATCCTCTTTCCTCTTTTCTTTATTAATATTATAGTATTTTTGATCATATTTTTTTCTATTTTCTAAAAATTTTCCAGAACTCCTCCTTTCTTTTATTTTTTCTTTATTTTTTTTGATAATAAATTCGATTTTGTTCTTGCTTTTGCTTTTTATTTTTATTTTTCTGGTAGTAATCCTTGAAATATTCATTTCTCTTTAACTTTTTTTCTTCCTCATTAATTACAGCTTTGTGCTCTTTTGAAAGATTAGGTGATGGTTTTACTGTTGCATCATTCTGAATCTGAGGATTAACCGGTGCATGGTCAATCCCTTCATTTAACTCATTTTGATTTTTATTATTTTTAACAGAATTAATTAAACTCCATAATATCGAATTGAAAATTAAAAAGAATAAAACTTTTATAAATTTCATTCTAAGTTAATTTTAAAAATTATTAAAAATTTAATTTTAAGAGTCTTTTTAAAGCATCTAACAACTTTCTTATATTCATCGTTATAAAGGTCAAAAAGGCTGATGAAATGAAGTGATGAAATCACAAGTGATGAAAAAAAGTGAAATCAAGTAATCAAAAACAATCTGAAGAAATCCTTCTTACTCTGCCGACTTTTTATTTAAATAATTTTTTCTTTCTTTAATTTTATCTAATATATTTATTAATTATTATTTATAAAATTGTGAAATAACACAATAATTTCTCAGGCACTTGTTAATTTTTAAAGATAAAATAAAAAGAAAATAAATTTTCATTGAAATTAAAGTGCATGGGCGGTGAATATTTTTATTTTTAAATAAAATTATGAAAGAAAAATCTTTTAAATAAAAAAGTCGAAAGAAGACGGATTTATTTCGAATGTCAATTATAATCTTATCGAAATTTATAACATTGTAAAGCTAAATATTCCGTCCGGTGAAAAAGTCTAAACATTTATACATTTATTTTATTTTTGAAATTAATTTAGAATATAATTTATTAGTATTTTAATCTTGATAATTTTTAATTCGATATTGAGGTGTTTAATTAATTTGTTAAAGAAAAGAAAGATGCATGCGATCGGAATTATCGAAATAAAATAAGAATAGATTGAAAAAAAAGTTGAAAAATATGTCAAAATCCGATTAGAAAAAGAAAAATGCAAAGAAATGATAGTTCAAATTTAAGAAATGTATAATCTGATAATAATGAAAGACAATAATATGTAACAATAAAAATAAAAGAAAAAGCCGATTGTTCAAGAACAAACAAGTTAGACGAAGGAATATAAGAAGGATATTACCAGTCTAAAATTTTCAACAAAAAACAAAGATAAGTTTATGAAAAGAGTGATTCTGCAACTTATAAAGAAAAGATTTAAGCAAATTATATAACTAACAAATAATAAAAAATGAGGCTAGAATTAAAAAGAAAAATGAGAAAGAAATTTTCAAAATTTATTTTCTTAATTATTTAAATTTTTAAATTTTTATTTTTTAATTTTAATAAAAAAATTCATTTAGCCATTTTAAATTTGTTAATTTTTGGTTTTTCCAATTTCAACGAAGCAGCAATAATTTTTAGTATGCTTAAAAGGCATGTGGCAAATCTATATTTAAATTTAATATTTTTTATGTTTTAGTATACCTGAAAAAATTTTTTTGGCTAAATTAATTTATTTATAAAAAAATTGTTATAGCTTTTTTTATTCTTCTATTAAGCTAACTCTTCTATTAATCCTGATGTATACTGACGCAAATCTATACATCCGCTAATCCACGAATGACAATTCAATTATAAAAAAAGGTATTTATTGGCAACGTGTATATATTTATTATTTGATCACCTTTTTTATGAATTTTAAAAATGCCTGATTGAAACCACATGCACCAAGCCTTAAATAAATTTTGCCAATATATATGCTTGACAATATAGAATAAGAAATAAATATTTATAACCTCCAACTTTCTTAAAATTATTTCTTGCTTAATAAAAATTAGAAATATGGTTAGTTATTTTATTATAATAAGAAAAAATCTCAAACCTCATCCAATGCTATATTTATAGCTTGAATTGTCAAAATATGCACGGAAAATCCCGAAATATGAGCATATAAATAAGTCAAAAAATATTCAAAATATGCCCCGAAATTAGCAAAATATACACTAAAAATAGCGAAAAGATCTTAAAAATGTTAATAACAATAAAATAATTTAATTTCGCCTTTAAACTGCAAATTATGAATTTTTCTAAATTTTCTGGAGTATATACAAGATAAAGCTATTTTCAGCCCATAGCTTTATCTTGTATTATTATCCCCAGGAATACTTATTTTCTTTGTGAATTTGATACTGAAACTTCATTTTAATTACCGAATTATCAATTAATTAATTTAACTAGTTTCAGAATTTTCTTTGGTTTATCACCGTTGTGTTGTCTTCTCTCATACATAACACTTTCCAAATGGATGAATTTGATATATTGGAAGGAAATTTTGATTTTGACTTTGATATTGATAAAGATTTGGAATCTTTCGTTGAATCATTTAATTTACAAGATTTTACTTGGAAGGTAATTTATAAATATTTCGACCCTATCTCAAACATACTGAGCATGTTTAATGAGTATATGCTCAGTATGGTCATTTTTTCCTTACAAATTAGTAGCTGATGTTTGCCTTAATGAAATAATTTTTTAGCTCTTTATAATTAAAAAAAAAGTTTTATAATCTCTCAGTTTAAGTATAACAAATGCAAAAATAAACTAACTAGAGTTGGCCGGTATCGTGATTTCGACACGAGTTCCAACGACACTCTTTTCGTATAAGGCCAAAATTTTTATTTAGGCAAAAATCAACGAAAGATTTGCAAATATGACAGCAGATTCTAGAAAATTATTGTGTGGTGTAAACTCAGAATCACCCAAAACTCCTGCATCCACTCCAAATTTTAAAACAAACAGCAAAATACGATCAAAGCGTTCAAATCCTTCCTGTACTTATAATATCGAATTTGATTCAAGAAAACAATGGCCACAATGTGCAGATATAATTAACATTGTTAGAAATCAAGGCCAATGTGGGGATTGTTGGGCAGTTGCAAGTTCATCTACGTTTACTGATCGCTACTGTATTGAGAGAGCTAAGAAAGGCTTAAAAACGCCAGTCTCTGATCCTGATAATCAGTCATCAGATGATGAAATACTTAGTTGTACTTCCCCGACTAGCGGGTTAGTTGTATAAATTTTATTTAATTTTCAAAAATAAAATTTAGATGTGTAAATGGAGGTTCTCCACCCGATGCATGGCAATACATGAAAAATTCTGGTGTTGTCTCTGGATCAAATTTTGAACAAAAAACCGGATGTAAGCCCTACTCAATCAATCCAGAAACTCCTGGACCACTTCCTACACCTAAATGTGTCTCGCAATGTACCAATTCTAAATGGCCAATTCAATATAATAATGATAAAAAATTCGGTGAATAATTATATTAAGTCACTGTTAATTCTAAATTATTTTAGCTATATCGACAGGTATTATTCCAGGCGATACGGAAGTTTCAGAGGCTGTCAAGGCAATGAAGGCCGAAATTAAAGCTAACGGTCCAATTACTGGCTGTATGGATGTATATGATGATTTCTATCATTATAGTGACGGAGTTTATAAGGTAATACGAAGCCCAGAATTTTTTAAATTGTTTAAATGCTTAGTCTTAGAAGTGGGGTAGCACGTTTACGAATCTCGGTCTACGAATCTCGGTTTAACAGGTCCTCGGTCTTGGAACCTCGCCAAGGAATTGAAAAAATTCAAACCCTAGAATCGACATTTTTTTAAGAAATTTGGCTTGGCGGCCTTCCAAAATTTGCCAGTTTTTATCAGTTTATTTAGAGATTAGACTAATCATTTAACTCTAAATAACAATTATCATATTTTTAATATAGTATATAATTAATATTTACTATTTAATTCAAATTTAAGAGAACTACTGACAAAAACCCTGGCGGCCATGCAATTCGTATAATTGGTTGGGGAACTCAAACATGTTCAGGAAAAGTCCAACCATTTTGGCTTGCTATTAATTCATGGGGAAAAGACTGGGGAATGAAAGGAGTATTTATGATTGCTCAAGGAAGTAATGAATGCAAGATTGAAGCTTGGGGAGCTGCTTTTGGCAAGCCTAAAGTCTAAAAGTCGAAATTATATAGGTAGTTGTACACTGTATGCAATTAACTGTCGAAGTGATGAATTTTGAAATTTAATGTATCGTCTAAATAATTAAATTTGCGAGAATAATTTTATTTATAAAATTTTAAAATATACTTGAAGGTTATTATAATATAATTAACGGAGTAACAATAAAAAGAGTAATTGCAATATCCGATACATGCCCTTGTTAATTATGGCGAATTTAATTTTGCCTTATTGTGAAAATTTGCCCTTTGTTATCCGACGCATAAGTAAATATTTATTTGGGTTTATTGAGAAATTAAACAATAAAATCAAAAGTACAAAAAATAAAACAAATTTCATCATTGCTTTCATTATAGACAAAAAGTTAAGAAATTGTTTTATTATTTCTGTTCTACAATTAACAGACGTCTAAATAAATATTGAAAATATACATACTATAGTAGAATCTAGTAATTAAAATTATACTAGAATTTATAATCTAATAATCATCGTCCTCAACTTCTTGCATCGGTTGAAAATTAAAAGGGTTATTAAGGCTCTAGACGACATAAATAATAATTAACAAAAGACAAGTTGAGAAATCACAAAGGACAACCAGAGTTGTTTCGAAAATGCTCTGTCATTCTTACATCATTCTTATTAAGATAATACAAATATTCTTTTTAAGCTCAAAACTTAAAATTAAATTTATTATTCTCCTTTAATAATTTTTAAAATTAATTTGGAATGAAATGTATTTGTATTTTAATTTTTGTAATTTTCAATTCGATATTATGGAGTTTAATTAATTCTGTTAAAAATAATAAAACACAAAATGAGTTAAATGAAGGGATTGACCATGCAACGGTTAATCCTCAAATTCAGTATAATGCAACAGTAAACCCAACACGTAAAATTACAAAAAAGCACAAAACAGGAATTAATGAAGAAGAAAAAAAGTTAAAGAGAAGTGAATATTGGAGGGATTACTACCAGAAACACAAAAATAAAAAGCAAAAGCAAGAACAAAATCGAATTTATTATCAAAAAAATAAAGAAAAAATAAAAGAAGAGAGGAGTTCTGCAAAATTTTTAGAAAATAGAAAAAAATACGATCAAAAATACTATGATATTAATAAAGAAAAGAGGAAAGAGGGTATGAGAAAATACCGGCAAAGAAAGAAAAATGAAAGAGAAATTATTAAAAATGAGAGTTTAAACTTAAAAAACGTTCAATCTGATATTGATGAAGGAACATCATTTGTTAATCCACCGAACAATGATTTTGGAAATAAAGGGAAATTGCCAGTTGTATGTGAAGAAAACTTTCAGATAGAAGAAGAAAATCATTTTCTTCAAGAGGAGGATGAAGGCGAATTAGGAACTCAGGTGGAAGAACAAAATCAAATTGTGGCGGAAAATCCAAATAAAATGACAGAAAATAAAATAAATTTGAATGATAAATTTTATCCTTTTGATCTGAACGAGAAACCTGAGGATGAATGATGAGAAGATTATTAAGAAGACACCCACATGTAGAAGAGAATAAACGACATTAAATTGCAATAAAATGACTAATTGGACAAAAAATAAATTTATTTTTCATTTTTGTTTGACATGAAAACTAAAAATATTTTTTTAAATTTAATTTATTGAATTATTTATTTAATTATTAACACTAATAAACATCTTTTTAAAACTTAGAAAAGAATTTTCCTGTTTGAAAAATGAAGGATATAAGGAAATAAGCGCTCTATGAAGGAAATAGAGCGCTTTAAAGATTTTAATGATTAAAAATAAAATAAGCAACAAAACGTTTTTTTGCTTATAAAATAAGCAAAAAATGTCAGTAAGTATAGAATGCCTTTACTTCTCAGAAAAATTGTGTTTGTGGCTGTTGTTGGTGTGCCATATCAGAAATTATGTCAGCAGCAGTTTTAAGGAGATTTCTTAATTGGGATATTATTGTACGAATAGCCGGAGAAATTGATGTGTCTTCTTGAATAAACTCAAAATCAAGATTAGATATTTGATCTAAAAACTGCTGGCGTATAACCGAGAGTTAGCGATGCTGTTAAAGGTCGTTCAGTTGCTTTATTTGAATGAACGATGTTAGAAGTGAAATTGTTTATTTTGGGGAGCATAGTGATGACCAGTGTATAATAAAATGTATGTGTTTTTAAAAGAAATTATAAGCACACAAATAGTATCTAATTTTTATCTCTTTTTTAGAAATCTATTATTTAAAATTTAAATTAAAGAATTTATTAACATTAAGTAATAAACGAGCAATAAAAAGTGCTGGATTTTCTTCTCCAGCCACTTCTGACTTAATTGACAGTATTTAAATTTCTTTAGGAATATTAATTGCTTATGTTTTACTTTATATTTATCACCATTCAATTTTTATACTCGCCACCAGAGTTGGGTCGTAATTCCGATTTACAACGTTTTTTTCCTTCCGATTCCGACACCTCGAACTGTTCCGACCCACCTCTGATCGCCACCATGTGTTGCATTGAATTTAATGTTGCAATTTGTTTGGCCGGAATAATAATTATTATTATTAGCCGAAATTTTTAGTTTTTAAGTTCGGTAAAGTTTTAAATTAAATTTAAATTAATTTTTAAATCTTGTAAAGATCACCAAGCCGAAATCATGCAGCAACTCTGTATCTTCAATAACATTTAAATTTTAAAGTTTTATAATTAATTTTTAATTTATTTAATTAAGAAATAAATTTTAATAATTTATTTTTTTTGTTTATCAATAATCAAAATCTCTTGCCCTTTAAAATACGTGTAAATGAGTAGCTAAATGTCCAATTATGAGAGGGAAGAGAAGCAAAAGGTGAGGGACTTCGAATGCGAGGGATTTTAAGAAGCTCTTGTATTATATATTATTGACTATCAAAGCCATTTTAAAATTTTTAAAAGAAATTTTCTCTTTATAAAAATTATTTTAATTAAAAAAAGTCAAAAAATTTAAGTAATTTAAATAAAAGTAAGGGCTAAAAACAAAAAATCTCACCGCCACCCCCCTTCTAAAAAAGCGCTGCAATTTACTCAAATAAACTCGATTATCCTTAAGTTATTAAACCAGCAGTAACATAAGAAAATAATATTTTTTTATAATTGGGATTCCATTAACTAACCGACTTTTTGTAAAATTTCGGAAACCTAAAGATTCTGTACGTGTCGAGATGTTATTCAAAAACTCCTTCATATTAAATTTTACGATTTTAGTGTTCGTGGTTATCTGGAACGCCCATTTTTTTTAATTTGTCAAAAGTTTTTTTAGTAAAATAAGACCGTGTCTGGTGAAAACGGCAGTGGTGAATTGGGCAGTGAGTGATATGGGTAGTGAGTGATTTGGGCAGTTTTTTAAAAAATAATTTTACACGCAAAAACAATTTGAGTAACGTTAGAAGAATAATTTTGAGCGATTTGGGCAGTAACTTATAATTTTTAAATTAATTACACAAAAATTCAAAGAACCGCACCAGGGGTGTGCGAGTTTCGCTTTTCGCATTTCGCTTTACGCAGATTTTCGCCTTTTTTGGACTTTCGCATTTCGCTTTTCGCGTGTCGCTTTTTTTGAATGACTTTCGCTTTTCGCGTTTCGCTTTTTGCGCGAAATGCGAAAGTTTTATACACCCCCTAATGACAGCTGAAAGATGATAAAGTTGGAGAAAAAATGAGCCCGAATAAATTGAAAACCTCCAGAATTCTCAAAATTTTCGCCTGCGGCGCAAAAAAAGGAAGAAATCTGGCTTCTTGTCTCCTCAAAATTCTCAAAATTTTCGCCTGCGGCACAGTGAAAGGAAGAAATATGGCTTAAGAACTTCCAAAATTTTCAAAATTTTCGCCTGCGGCGCAGAAAAGAGAAGAAATCTGGCTCAAGGACTTCCAAAATTCAAAAAAATTTTGCCTGGGCACTAAAAACGGAAGAACCATTTCATAAGTTTGTCTGGCTTATGTCTGTATTCCCTCAAATCTCTTGATATTCTTGATGCCCGTCAAAATCCTATTGTAAGACTCAGTTGAGGCCTTGATTTGCAACAAAGCACTGAGTTGACAAGCTCTAGAGATTTCCCATCATACCGGAAAATTTTTTAAGAATTTCGCTTTTCGCATTTCGCTTTTCGCGGATTTTCGCCTTTTTGGACTTTCGCTTTTCGCATTTCGCGTGTCGCTTTTTTTAAATAACTTTCGCTTTTCGCGTTTCGCTTTTTAAATTTAATTTCGCTTTTCGCATTTCGCGTTTCGCTTTTTAAAATCCGTTTCGGCACACCCCTGAACCGCACCCCTTTTTCATTTTGATAACGTTGTAGGTACAACATTACCCTTTGTTGAAATCGTCTTGGTCTCAATTTTGAGATTTCCCTAGGTGATAAGTAGATTTAAGGTATGAAAAATTGAGAAATAATTTCTATTTTAAGTTTTTAGGTCTCAAAATAGGTCCAAAATATCTGAAAAAGGTTAACATAGTTTTGGAAAAATATGTTCAAATTTTGGATTTACCTAAGTTAAATAAAAATTTCCGGAATTTTTCTTATCAATTTTAAATAATTTAAAAATTATAAGTTACTGCCCAAATCACTCAAAATTATTCTTCTAACGTTACTCAAATTGTTTTTGCGTTTAAAATTAGTTTTTTAAAAACATTTACTGCCCAAATCACTCACTGCCCAATTTACCATTGCCCAAATCACACGGCGCCAAATAAACACCCCTAAATCGACATCCAAAAATTTATGACTGTCGATGTATGGTCTCAGTCATTGTTTGTGATTATTAATATAATTTTTTGAAATTCAAAAAAAAAATTCCCATAAATTTTCTTTATTTATTTTCAGATGAAAATCTTGATTTATTTCATTTTGTGTTCAATTAATGTTGTAGCATATCATGAAATAAAACCATCCCCATTTAAAATTTTATTTATGATGGACGCACCAAACAGAGCAAATTTTGGATGGCGTTATCAAATAAAAAGTTTTGAAAATGGAATGAGGTTTTTAACATTGTAGAAAAGATTTTTAACTTTTAAAATATATGATCGTGCGAGACGCTCCGCAAAACCCTGCACGAAGCTCAGGATTTGGTAAATGTCCAGTTGCCTCCCACCCTGTCCGTTCTAGGAGATTCTTCGCTTAGCCGAAACCGAATTAAACAAGCGAATCTAGTAAAGTTTTCGTGGGAGAACTAACGACTTTTTGGCGCAACCTAAGGGTTTAGGAGGATTCTCCTTTTGATCTTAGCTGGATTTTTTTTGAGGGTTTGGAGAATTTCCTGAGGGGTTGGTGTATATTGATAGACAAATACGAGTAAAAGTTAATTCTAAATTTCCAAACATTATTAGTAAAACTTCGCTTATACTAATCTAATAAATCTTATTTTATAGCCAATTAACTCATCCTCCTAACATTTTTACTGACAATTATTTAAACAATGCATATGTTAATCTTTGTGTTAGTTTTTTTATTAAAAAATTTAAAAATCGTTTTTTTGTTTGAAGGATAATTTTGATAATATTGGTCTTAGAACTGATTTTCTTCAAGATTTAAATGGAAGTTTTTTATTTCAAAAAGCTGCAGAATTGTATTACGAAAATAAGAAAAAAAGTAATTTTGTTGAAAAAGTTGAACAACTTTTATTTTCTGAAGAAGAACCGCGTTAGTTTATTAAAAATAATTTTTTAAATTTATCTTTATATAAACTTTACATTATATACAGGGAGGGTGTCAAAAAAGTAACCGTGAACTTTTCATTTCTTCATTACTTAACTATTTTTTATACATATAAGTAATTTTTATACAAATTCTGTAGCCCAAACACTTCTCTCTCAGGGCCCATTTCAATTATTGAACTTTTTTCCGAAAGATCTAGAGTTCATAAAATTTCAACTCCTCATAGATTCAAAAAAGCACGATCCAAGAAACTAAGAAATTCCGGTATGAAATTTTCTGGGAAAATTCGTGATATGGCCAAAAATAAACTAATTGTAAAACTCAAGCCCTACAAGCACAAAAAATTAAAACTTTTAAAAATAGAAAAATGAGTGAGTTAGGACCCCGAGAAGCAAACACCCTCTGAAGCAGATTGCAAGTCAAGAGACACTTTTTTCAAACGGAAAAGAGTTGTATGTAATTTATGACCGAGAATGGTTCCTGTGTAATTATTTTTAATTTTAAAATAATTTAAGAATTCTACTCCCTATTTTGCCAATTCACACAGGGGAAAGGAATCTGGCATTCTTTTATTCGTGAACAATCTCAGATGGAAATTCATTCTTTGGAGTTTAAAAACAACACTGTATACTTAAAAATAAATTTTTAGAAGCTTGTGTATAAGTGTGGGGGAGTGATAGTAAATGAGAGGCAAAAAAGGAAACACTTCTAGCGGTTATTCTGGTTATTGAGATTAGGGTTGCTTTTTCGAGCTGACGTTTGTTGGATTTTTTCTAGTTTGGCTTTTTTCGAGCTCTCTATATATCCTGCCCTA